AACACCCTACCAGAAAACTCTAGAACTGCAGACACATTCATCACTTTCAAAACTACCGTTAGAAAACATCTTATCTCCCTGATACACCCCGTCAACTAACTACGTGAAAACCACCTCGTGGTTCACACTTTCACTCACTTACCCATTTGATTATAAACACAGAAATACGAATCTTAATCTTAAAATAATGAATCCTAAGTAGTCATAAGTTTGCCTGTGATACTCCAATATAGAAACTATGTATTGTACCAAAACAAAATCATTCACATTGCTAAATTCACAAGCTATAATGTAATCACTTAGCCTTAATACCAACTTACTCCATAATACACAAATCACCCGCACATAAAAGAGAGAAGCTTACGACGACGTTTCGGTCCGACTTGGTCCATTTACAGTCACACTAACCAGAAGTGGGGTAGGCCTTGGTCCAAATTCTCTCTCACTGTTACTAACTTGTCTTCTGTCTCACTCTCTCAGTATGAGCTTGAACTTCTTGGTTTTGGCCTTTCCTTTGCCACTTCACCTGCCCCTCGCGCTGGTATTGCCCTGATTAGCTCTTTTGATTCCTTTCGTCAATCTCGCTCCCGTAATCTTCCTGACTTGTCCACTTTTCGTGGCGCTCTCCTTCCTGCTCTTGTTAGTCTGTTTTCTAAGAATCACCACCTTCCACGCCATTACCAACTTGCCCTTTCTTCTCTTAAATCCAACACTAACATTGTCATACTATCTTCTGACAAAGGTAATTCGTTAGTTATCCTTGATTGCGAGGATTACCTCCGTAAAGCTGATGTCTTGCTCTCTGACTCACGTACCTACACTCCTCTCGTTTCCAACCCTCTTGATCGCATCAAGAGAACTTTCAACAAGAAATTAAGGACTCTCTCCGACCTCTGTCCTCCTGACTTTGACCTTGTTCAACGGTTTCGTGTCATCTGTCCCTCTCTTCCCTATTTCTATGGCCTTCCCAAAACTCATAAACCTGATATTCCTCTTCGTCCTATCATATCCTCTAGAGGTTCTGTCTCTTATTCTCTTGCTTCTTGACTGGCCAAAACCCTCACTCCCTTCCTTGGTACTTTTTCTCCTGCCCACCTCCGTCACTCTCAAAACTTCATTGAACGGGTTTGCTCTCTCCCAACCTGTAAGATGCTTAAAAAACCATACCCCCGGCCGGGATTGAACCCGCGGTCATAGAGTCTCAAAACTCCAGCCCGTCGCGTCGGGTTCAATCCCGGCCGGGGGTATGGTTTATTTGCAATCGTGTCAATACGATTTCTTGAGTCATGTAAGATGCTTAGTCTTGATGTTGAGTCCCTCTTCACCAATGTCCCTCTTGATGATGTCCTTGATTTCCTTAGAGAGAAGGCCCATGAAGGGTTTCTACATCTCCCTATACCTACTGATGTCTTTCTTGATCTTATCCGCCTCTGTGTGGACTCTAATTCCTTTTCCTTCCAAGGGAAATATTATTCTCAAACCTTCGGTGTTGCTATGGGCTCTCCTCTCTCTCCTGTCCTTGCTAATTTTTACATGGAATACTTCGAGACTGTTGTTCTTCCTACCCTTGATGTGCAACCTTCACTCTGGCTCCGCTGTGTGGACGACATCTTTGCTCTGTGGCCTCATGACTCCAGTCTCTTCCAACCTTTTCTTGAAGCTCTTAATAATCTTGCCCCTTCCATTAAGTTTAAAGCTGAATGGGAATCTAATTCCTTGCTTCCTTTCCTTGATGTCCATGTCCACCGCTCAGATACAGGTTTTTCCTTTTCCGTTTACCGAAAACCTATGCACAGTGGCATGTACATTCACTACTTTTCCTATCATGCTTCCCCTGTCAAGAAAAGTGTTCTTATCTCCCTCTTTCTCCATGCCCTCCGCATCTGTGATCCTCAGTTCCTTCCAGCAGAAATTTCCACTCTTCATAATTCGTTTTCCCGTCTTGGCTACCCTTCCCATTTCATAGACTCTGCCCTCTCACGTGCTAAGCGTAATTTCTTCTCTCCCAAACTCTCTACTCCTGGGAACTTCTATCCTCTGCCTTCCCTACATTTCCGGTCTTTCTAATCTCAACAATTCTCTCCGTCCCTTAGACATCAAGCTTACCTTCCGCCAGACTAACACTCTTCGCACTAATCTCGTTCATACCTCTCCTCCCTCTACAGATGTTCCTGGTGTCTACTCTATTTCTTGCTCCTCCTGTCCTCTTCAATACTTCGGAGAAACTGGTCGATCTCTTTCTGACAGACTTAGGGAGCACAAAAATAGTGTTAGGCTTGCTGACACTAACAATGCTCTTTTCTGTCACGTCAGAGATCATAGCCATCCTATTGACTGGTCTTCTGCTAAAACTGTGTTCCCTACTTCCAACTCGAACAGTCGCCGTCTAGTTGAATCCTCTCTAATACACAACTTTCCTTGTATGAATCTTAGCCCTGGCTTCGTCTCTGTAGATGCCTTGCTCTCCCACTACATTGCTCTCCCTCTGTGGGCACCTAGCTCCCTTGCAGTGCTCCCTTTCCTTTGTATTTGACTGGCTCGTCCTCCTTATTCCCCACTTCTACCACTACCACTACCTCTTCTACTACTACTACTACTACTACTGATGAAATTGAGACACATGTGTGGCATCTGGGTGTCTTTGTTGTGGACGTTTCACCATCCAGTGGCTGGCTGGATGGCGAAGCGTCTACAATAGAGATGCCCGGGTGTTGCGCATGTGTCTTAATTTCATCTTTTTTTTTTTTTTTTTTTTTCAACAAGTCGGCCGTCTCCCACCGAGGCAGGGTGACCCAAAAAAGAAAGAAAATCCCCAAAAAGAAAATACTTTCATCATCATTCAACACTTTCACCACACTCGCACATTATCACTGTTTTTGCAGAGGTGCTCAGAATACAACAGTCTAGAAGCATAAACATATAAAGATACACAACATATCCTCCAAACTGCCAATATCCCAAACCCTCCTTTAAAGTGCAGGCATTGTACTTCCATTTCCAGGATCAAGTCCGATATATGAAAATAACCGGTTCCCTGAATCCTTCACTATATTACCGCTCACACTCAACAGATCGTCAGGTCCCAAGTACCATTCGTCTCCATTCACTCTATCTAACACGCTCACGCACGCTTGCTGAAGTCAAGCCCTTACCACAAACTCTTTACCCCTCTCTCCAACCCTTTCGAGACGACCTACCCGCCTTCCTTCCCTATAGATTTATATGCTTTCCATGTCATTCTACTGTGATCCATTCTCTCTAAATGACAAACCACCTCAACACCTCTTCTGCACTCTCGACTAATCTTATTATTCCTACTACAACCTTCTCCTAATTTCCCACTCCTGATTTTCAACTTGAGAATATTTACACGGACACAAAACATTGCTCCTTAAACAGCGTCACTCAGAGTCTAGCCTCCATACGGTCCTTCTGCTACTGTGTTCCCTACTTCCAACTCGAACAGTAGCCGTTGTTGGTCTACTATACACTTTCTGTATGAATCTTACCCTGCTTTGCTCCTGTAGTCTTGACTCCACACATTCTCCCTCGGGCACCACTCCGCACTCCTTTCCTTTCTATATTCTGGATGATTATTCCCATCTTACATAAATCCTCATCCTACACTACGTACAACTCCAATGATGAAAAACAATTGTCATCTGGTTCTTTGTTGTGACGTTTTCACCACCAGTTTGGTATCGAATTTCTACTAAATGCCGATTTGGCATGTCTTAATCATCTTGTCGGTATTATATACCATTCTTGTACTACTACTACTACCACCACCACCTCTTCCTGCCTATATATAGCCGTCCTGCTCCACTTCTGGTTAGTGTGACTTTGTAAATGGTCCAAGTCGGACCGAAACGTCGTCGTAAGCTTCTCTCTTTTATGTGCAGGTTATTTGTGTATCGTTCCAGCCACGGTATTGTGCCTTTTTTTGTTATTTACGCCATAATCTGTAATAATTTAGAGTTAAGAATTAATCTAAGTCTGCCCGAAATGCCTAGCCATGCTAGGTGTCATAGTGGCCCCCTCTATAATTAGTATTTTATAACATGTAAACCACACAATATCCAAAATCTGTAAACCCTGCATTGTAATCTTTATAGAGAATAAACTTGATTGATTGATGGGCAGAATGACAGAGGTGAAGCAGCTGGGGTAGATGAGCTTAAGACAGAAATGTTAAAAGCAGGTGGGGATAATTTTGGAGTGGTTGTCACATTTGTTCACTACATATGCATGAAAAGGGGAAGTGCTTTTATGATTTAACGTGCTGTTGGAGTGTAAGCAGGGTAACATTTATTAAAGAATTTAAGGAAACTGGTTAGTCGGACTTGAATCCTGGAGTTGGGAAGTACAGTGCTTGCACTCTGAAGGAGGGGTAAGGATGTTGTGATTTGGGGGGTCATCTGAACTGTAATACAGTGTTATAGTAGAATTCAGTTTAGTAGGAAATGGCTGTAGGTACATTTTAAGCTACCATGATACCATGAAGCTATTTCCTTTAAATTTAGAATGCTTAATGCCTTCATATGTATAGTATTTCCCATCATTTTAAGATCATACCAGTGGAAAATTTCATAAGTAAAAATAGACACTTTAACTACCATTTTTATATGTGCAATGCGCTCAACCACTAGAACCTATGTGCTGCGTTTGAATTTGGAAAAACAACAAAGGAAAACTACTCTTAATTGAACATGACCAAAATATGACAGTATCAATTCTATGGATTTATATTAAAAGATATGCCTAGGAGCAATGCTAGTGAGGAAGTTTGCATGGGTGCTTTGTAATTTTGTTACTGTAGCTGCTAATGCTACTGCTAGTGAGGGGCTCTTGATCCAAGGAATTGGACTTGTCCTTCCCCTTCCTCGGACTGCACGTGATTACCTCCCATTCTCCAGGTACTGTATAAATGACCACTATTTAATGCTTCCATCTAAATACAATGATGATGATACAGATGCTACTTCACTAGTGGCTGTGTAGAAGGTGGCTCAGTTGTTTTAAATGCCTGATTTTTTTTTTTTTTTTACAAATTGGGTTAACTTTTTTTTTATAATTTTTTTTGAAAACTGGTACCATAGTCAAAGGTATTTTTATAATGTTTTGAGTTTTTTTTCATCAAATACAGTACAGTATATTGATAGTTTGATATCCATATCCCCCCTCCTTTTCCCTTCATTACAGTTAACCTAAAATATACTGTATGTATGTAACTGATACTGGGTTGGCATTTATAGATAAAAAAATGATGTAATAAAAAATTAATGCAGTTTTTGCCACAAAGGTCTGGTAATTTATCCAGTTATTCTATAATTTACCAATTTAGTAATAAAAATCTGAAGACATATTTGCAGACATTGATCATGCAATTGCTACTGGAATAAAGAAGACTGATGATACTCTCCGATCACCCATGGAATGACTGGTATATAACTTGACTCTCTCCCTGCTGATATAAATGCTCATCATGTCGAGTTTCCCGATACTGTGGCTGTGGAGAGAGAAAACAAAGAAATACGTTACCAAGGGCCTTAGAAAATAATTAAGTGATATAAATGAAACCAACAATTATATTGTATGCCTAAAGATTATGTCTACTACTGTACTTCTGTTTATTATTTTTGTAAGTAATGACAGTTTACAACCTTACCATACTTTGAAGAGTTGCAGAGGCGAAAGAAACCCAGCGATTGGCAGAACAAGAGGCTATGACAAACTAAGGAAGACTAGAATTTTTTTTTTTCAAAACAGATATAGAACAATGGAATGATTTAAACAAGGAGGTAATGCAGTCACCACTGAAACCTAAATTTTTCTTACCTACTCTTGTGTGTGTAATAGGTCGATCACTAGTGCACTCAGCTTACACACTGAGGTCCAGGGATTGATCCCCCAGTATGGGCGGAAAACATTAAGATGTGTTTTCATAAAACACCTGCTACCCATGTTCACCCATCAGTAAATTGGATACCTGGGTGTTAGTCGACTAGTGTGGGTCGCATCCTGGGACAAAACTGACCTAATTTGCCCGAAATGCTCAGCATAACAAGCGGCTTTCTATATAGTAGTACAGTATGTCAGTTATGGCCTGTATACCTTGTATATGTACTTGTAGAAATAAAGATATTATTATTATTGTTAGCCAGTTTAATCATATTAAGGTAATTTTTTGGTAGTCAAGCTCAAAATTTATAGTTGTGGTAAAAACTATTTATATTCTGCCAAGTTGCAAGTGCAAAGCTGGATTTAATATTGAAGATAATCTTGTAATACGAAATGACCCAAAGATTATTTCCTGTAAATATACAAGAAATAATTATAATTTTTGTAGTACATGTGAAAATTCTAGCTCACCAGTTTGCTTAGGATGAATATGGTGACACTAAACACTACCATCAGTGCTTTCTTGCTTCATCCAGGGTGTTTCGTGATTTTGGACATGGTGTGCTCTGATGATGCAAATTTCTGTGAGAGCTACTATATATATTGTACAAGTTACAAATCTATAATGCACATGCCTATTTCATTTAAGTGACAGAGAAAGCCAAATGAAAATTATGGTAGATATTATGCCAGGAGGAAGGGGCTAGTAACCCCTTCTGTATGCATTACTAAAGTTAAAAAGAGAAACTTGTTTTTCTTTTTGGGCCACCCTGCCTCCGTGGGACATGGCCGATTTGTTGAAAGAAGGCGACTATGTCCAGAAAATAATTAGCAAGGGATCCCAATTTTCATTCGACTTCCTCTTGTATATACTGTACAAGGAAATGTACATGAACTAGAACATTCTTTCCTAACAGGCTTATTTTTAAAATGGAGTTTGGTACCGTATTTTTATTTTGAAATTTGAAAACAATTCTAAGTTAAAAGCTAGAAATTTAATTTAACATTGCAAGGTTGATTTTCAGCAACAATATTTCTACTGGGTTCTCATTATGATTTTTATTTTACATATTATTATTATAATGAGTGGTTTTCAGACCACAAGCTTGGAAGTGGCCATGGATTATGGACAAAATTTGCAAAAAATGTATAAGAAAAGTCTGGGCCTCTTTCAAGGAAGGTGCCTAATGCTGATGAGGGGCTCTTGATCTAAAGAACTGAGCTGCCCTACCCTTCCTTTGATCAAGCCTGATTATCCCTTTTTTCCAGCTCTATATGATGCTTATTAGTTTAGCAATTTTCAAATAGGAGAAGACACACCCAGAGACTTTCATACCATGTATAGTGATGCTGTAGCTTGCACATTGCTGTATATACAACAAATCATAGGACTGGTTGAGACACGAGTTTAATTCAAGATATGTACAATGAAATTCAATTTTAACAATTAAGTACAGTGGACCCCCGGTATTCGATGGCATCGGTATTTGATAAATCCGGTATTCGATACATTATATCGCAAAAAATTTTCCTCGGTATTCGATTGAAAACCCCGGTACGATTATTCGTCGAGAGTGTCCGTGTGGCCTGATCCCCTTGTGTGCCAGTGTTTACAAGCCACCCAGGTGCGCGCTTAAGGTACTTGGTAATTCCATTTTATACTGTGTTTGGTGCTTGTTTCTGCAAAATAAGTCACCTTGGACCCCAAAAAAGCTTTGTCCCAAACCCCTTCAAGAAAAAAGTCAAAATTAACTTATGAAATGAAGAAAGAGATAATTGAAAGTACGAAAGTGGAGTGCGTGGTCGGGGGTTAGGTTGTATAAAAAACCCCAATCAACCATTCTATATAGTGACCCGGAAAACGGAATCAAGGAAGCTGTTTTTTGCAAAAGGGTGCAAAAATGTGTTACGAAACGCTACCCCAAGTGTTGAAAATGCTGAGGATTGTTATTGGTGTGGATAAAAAAAAAACAGATAGCAGGAGTGCATCTCTCAAACGATATTTGTGGAAAAGGGTAGGGAGTTGCTGCGACTTGGTAAAGAAATTGCCCGCAAAAAAGTGTGTGTGAGTTTTAAAGGCCCGCAAGGTTGGTTTGAAAAATTTTTAAAAATGTAGTGGCATACATAGTGTGATTAGGCCTGGTTTAGGGGGGCTGCCAGTTCGGACAAAAAGAGTGAAAAAAAAGTGGGAATTTTAAAGGGTTACATAGACAGTGAAGGCCCCGAAACCTGAATAAGTGTTTTTAATTTCGACAAAAAAGGCGTTTGGAAGAAAAAAGCCAAGAGGACCTAAAATTTTCAGGAGGAAAAGGCACTCCGGCAAACCTATGAAAGACAGGCTTTCTCTGTTTTTGTGTGCCCAAAGCTAGTGGTGACTGCAAAATGAAACCCTTTATTGGTGTATCATCGAAACCCCAGAGTGTTCAGGAAAAACAATGTCCTCAAGGCTAATTTTGTGTGCTGTGGAGGGAAACGTAGGCATGGGTCATAGGGACTTTTTCTAGGGACGGGGTTAAACCCCATGTATTTGCCCCTGTAAAAAATTACCTAACAAAAAGAAATTGCCTTAAGTGCCCCCTGGTATTAGCAATGCCCTGGTCTCCTACAGACTTTGTCAAGCCTTTTCTGGGGAATGAGTTTCATTAAGGTCAAGTTTTTGCCTCCAAATCCCACCCCTCCCCTGAGCCCAGGACCAGCAGGTCTTTTCCCAAACTTCAAGAAACTGTACACAAAAGTAGTTTAAAAGTGTTTTTATAGTGACCACAAAAACCCAAAACTGACTCTAAAAGAGTTTTGGGAAAGGTCACTTTAATATCCTCAACTGTATAAAAAATGATAGGTAAGGCTTGGGGGGAGTGACTAAAAGGGCCTTGAACTCTGCTTGGAAAAGTGTGGCCAGAAGTGTGACAAAGGGATTTTTAGGATTTGGGCTAACCTGAGAATCCTATGCAGTTGAGGATCATTGTGGGATTGGGGAAGTCCTTTTGGGTTGGAGGTTAGTGGGGAGGATGTGGAAGAGTTGGTGGAGGAGGACAGTGAAGAACTAACCACTTATGAGCTGATAGATCAACTTGAACAGCAAGAGGGCAGACCTGAGGAAACTGCTTCGGAGGAGGGGATAGAGAAATTGAAGAAGTTGCCTACTTCAAAGATTAAGGAAATGTGTGCAATGTGGCTTAAAGTGCAAACCTTTTTTGATGACAATCACCCTCACACAGCTATTGCAAGCCGTGCTGGTGACTATTACACTAACAATGCTGTGAAACACTTTAGGGATGTCATAAAGGAACGGGAGGTACAGGCCACTATGGACAGATATGTTGTGCGACAGAAGTCCAGTGACTCTGAAGCTGGTCCTAGTGGCATTAAAAGAAGGGAAGTAACCCCGGAAAAGGACTTGCTACCTCAAGTCCTAATGGAAGGGGATTCCCCTTCTAAACACTAACACCTCTCCCCTCCTCCCATCCCATCAATCATCACCAGATCTTCATTAAAGGTAAGTGTCAATTATTTTATTGTTATTATTCTATTGCATTAAACTTAATATTCCATGTAGTAAAAATTTTTTTTTTCATACTTTTGGGTGTCTTGCACGGATTGATTTGATTTCCATTATTTCTTATGAGGAAAATTGATTCGGTTTTCGATATTATCGGTATTCGATGAGCTCTCAGGAATGGATTAATATCGAATACCGGGGGTCCACTGTAATAATGTTATAATTTTAATTCCATGATTCAGCAGTTATTACAGTACTGGAATTTTTTTTACAGTATTTATGCCTATGGGAATCTCTGTAATCTTCAACATAAATCTAATCACATACAGGAGTCTAATCCATACCTTGATGTAGATGGCATCAGTGAAGATAGGTTCTTCAGTCGACACTATTATAGTTGTGGAAAATTTGCGAGGCTGCATCCTTGGGACCCATACCAGTGTGCTCACATACCTGCAGGGGCACAAAACTTTGTAATACTGAATGAAATGTGTATGAGAATCTTCCAATAATTTATGATTAGACAAAGTTTCACTATTTCTTAGCCTTAAGGATGCTGGCACATTGTTATAGTGGGAGAAGTAATGTAATTTTTTTTTTTCAACACTATTGGCCGTCTCCCACAGAGGCAGGGTGACACAAAAAAGAAAAACACTTTCACCATCATTCACACATATATCACTGTCTTTGCAAAGATGCCCAGATATGCCAGTTCAGATGTCACTCCAAATAGCAAATATCTCAAACCCCTCCTTTAATGTGTGGGCATTGTACTTCCCACCTCCAGGACTCAAGTCTGGCTAACCACTTTCCATGAATCCCTTCACAAAATATTACCCTGCTCACACTCCAACAGCTTGTCAAGTCTCAAAAACTAATGGTCTCCATTTACTCCTATTATACTTACATATGCCTGCTGTATGTCCAAGCTCTTTGCACACAAAAACCTCTTTTACCCTCCTCCCTCCATCCTTTTCTAGGATGACCCCTACACATTATCTGGTACTGTCCTTTCTAGAGAGGTTTCTTCATGCCAATGAAAGGATTTTGAGCTAACCTTCCCTTTCTTGGATCATATGAGTACCCCCCATTTCTCAAGCACTGTACGAATATATGGGTTCAGTGCTTAGTTGTGATTATAATAATAATAATAATGTATGAACATTATATGTTTAGCACTTAACCATTATTATCTAGCACTATACAGTATGATTACAGTATTTTGGTTTAGCACTACTGTATGGTGAATGTGGTAAAAATCATTGCTAACCTTAGCGAGCACTTAATACAAATGTCCCTAACACTCTCCTTACCTACCACTTCACAGGTAGTGCCCTGACAGTGGTGAAGGACTTGATTCACTGAATTGGACCCCCTTGTAGAAAGGTACTTTGGCAAGGTGCAAGGGCTCTTGAGCGGAGAAATTAAAACACTTGTTGCCATCCTTGAATCAACTCTTAAATAATCCCCACCCTCCCTATCCCTCTCCATCTGGTTTCCTTATAGAGAACATTTCCTTCCCCACCCCCAGTAGAATTCAGCTCTTGGGCAGAGAGAAAATGGATCATTATCAGTCTTAGTCTAACATGGACTTTAGTTCTGTGCTGTCATGAAATGGAAATTGGATTATCTGGGCATATGTGGGGTAGCCCTCCAGTAACCCCAGAGGCTAATCCCACATGTCCTTGGCTGACAGATGTATTACTGGAGACTGCCTTCAAGTCTTGGAGTAGATATTAAAAGTGTACAGCTGGCATTGTCATTCACACACTGCTATTATTGGATGAACCTAATGTAGCCAATTTCAGAGGTGCCATCTGGTATGCTGGGTAGGGTAGTACATAGATGTTTCCAGGAAGCATCAATACTGCCTGCCACACAAAGGAGGATAGTGGTTCAGGATGGGTATGTGATTTCATTTTATTTCTCCTTGGATCTGTCCCTCTTCCCAAACTTTTATTCACAAAAAAAAAAAAAAAGAAAATAACAATTTTCATTCTTTTCAGTCTCTTGAACCCATGATAACTGTAGCACTTTCCAGACCCTGGCAAATGTACAGTCCTTCATAGGAACCCTGCATTACTTTTGGGCAGCACCTCATTGCCTGACCCCTGTACTGGCCTTTTTTCTGACCCTTTTGATACCACTGACTTTCACTATTTTAACCAAGAACTCTACTTTTTCCATGATGCAGTATAAATTTTCAGATCATTCACACAACACAGAACAGATTAGCAAGCAGAAATTGTCTAAAAGACCTCAATGCATCCTAGAAAATACTGATCCACTACCTAATGTATCTTCTCACATCCCAAGAAACATCACCTGGAAACCTCTTTCCTTACAAGACAATTATTTTCCCCTCTAGCAAACATGTCAGTCAAAATGGATCTTCCCATGCCCTCAAGAGAGAGAGATGCAAATTGCTGTGAGAGGGTCTCCCTGTAACTCACTGGAATTGTAGTCTTTTTTTTTCTTTTTCCACTCCCCTCCCTTGCCAGAACTCTGCACATCTAAATTCAGTGATGCCCTAACATGTTCACCCCACTCAAAATTTGTACTGAAAGTCTCACCATTAACAGAGTCACCCTTTCAATTTTTAATGAAAACTAATGTACTGTATCAGCTATGACTATTTATGCACCCACCCTAAAAAAGATTAAATATTTTATTTCTTTGCTAAGGTTACGATGTGTAATTATAATTTTTATTTGTTAAGTACAAAGAAAGCCACTATCATGCCAGGGCATTTTGGGCAAACTAATCCTAGCACATAAAACTACTTAAGTCTAGACAAGATAAGAATGGTTAACTTTTTCATAAATCTTTATTTTATCTTAATATTAATGCAAGGTAGTCAGGGTGGAGGTTTATAAGAATACGTAATAATCTTGAAGTTGCACATAATAAAAACAATATTACAATGGTTCAAACAGTAATATTTTATGGATTGGCAGATGTTTTAATAGACTAGAGGGCATATAATATAATATTTGGGAGAGTTGCCTGCCCATAATGCTCTGCATACAAGGGGCTTTGGCATGTTGCACTTTAATAACTGTATTCCTTTGTACTTCTCTGTATCATGTTCAAATTAATAAATAAATAAACAAATAAACTGTTTAGAAGTTGTTTTGGTTAGTATTGAGAGATGAGATGATTTTTAAGCATAGCCCTAAATTTGTATATATTCAGGGGATTCTTAACCAGTTCAGGAAGTGAATTCCAGATCTTTGGGCCCTTTATGTGCACTACATTTTTGCATAGCATGAGACTGACATGAGGGATGTCAAAGAGTGCCTTGTGCCTTGTATTGTGACTGATTTCTGTTGTAGCTATCAAGGAGAAGTTTAAGTGGAGGGTTTATATTGGAGTTTAATGGTCTGTATAAATAGTAGGCACAATAATATGAGTATGTCTTGTACATTTAGAAGGTTCAGGCTTTTGAAAAGTGGTGGGGTGTGCTGTCTGGCACCAGAGTTGGTAATCATCTGCACAGCAGCTTTTTGTTGGGTTATTAAAGATTTAAGGTGGTTAGCTGTGGTTGATCCCCAGGTACAAATATTATAGGAGAGATAGGGATAAATTAAAGAGTGGTACGTATAGGGTAAGGAGTGTCGTTTGATTTGGAAATTTTCTTGGATATATGCTGGATGTGGGAATGAAATTTAAGATAACAGTCAAGGTGAATACCTTGAAAATTAACCTCAGTGTGTCTTGTAATGGGGGAACCATGTATCGATATATGTATTAAGTTGGATATTTAAGGGTCTGTTTCCAAACAGCATGAAATATGTTTTGTCTATGTTTAGAATGAGTTTGTTGGTCATCATCCAAGTACAGTACATGTATATATTTTTAGCAGCTCACACACACCTACCTTTGTGCACCCTCCCTACCAAGTGTTGTATGATCAATATGGATTTAGTACTTGATTTGATGATAATGAATTAAGGCAGTTCTTTTCCTTAGATCAAACCTGATTACCTCCCATTTTCCAGACACTGTATAGCCTCTACTTCTATAGTTTTAGCTCTTCCTCAAAGCTTTCATGTTTACCATTTTCCCTTGAAATTAATGATTATACTGTATAATTATTCCTAGCGTTCGATATATCAAACCTGTTATTTCCAGTCTTGATAGGCAGGGCCTGAGAGTGGAGAGGTGACTTCCGTCGTAGTGTTGAGAGGTGAGAACCCGTAGAAGTGACCAATTCGAGAGACGTTGCTCCTCCAGGTTTGCTGGGAGATTTGCTTCTCGCTCTGCCCTGGGAACAGTCTGAAACATATTATGCATATTTTTATACTTAATACTTTTGTGTGACTACCAGAAACAGTACTTGAAAACAAAATGTACAATATGCAGATGTGTGATAATTATGTATACATGTACGTATATATAGTACATCTCTCAGTAATGACTGTGGGACATGCAGTGTTGTATGATCCTTGTAGGTTTAGCACTTCTTTTTTATTACAATAATAATAATAATGAAACAAAGGCAAGTAGTAATGCAAAAAATCTAACATATTAGGTCAAAGCTGCTACTATATGCAGTGGTGGTGTGGTGCCCACACCTTAAAAAAAAACCATGGATATGTTTTTAATGGCCCATAGATGATAGAAAAGCTTCAAAATTGGTACTAGAGTTTAAAAATATGAGTTATTTATAATGAGAGATTGGAACTGTTAAAAGATTCCCATATAGGCTGACAGAAGGAAGAGAGGAGACATGATAATCACATACAAGGTCATCAAATGCCTGTTTTTCCCTGTAGCACTGCAAGAGAGATGAGAAAACAGTTGCAAACTGAGAAAAAAGTGGGACCGAACAAATATTAGATTTTCTTCACAGTGGTAGATTAATGACAAACTGCAAGAGGAAATTAAAAAAAAAAAAATTACAAATTGTTGTTGATGGAGACCGCAAACAAAAATCTGCTCCTGTAGCTTCAAGTAGATAATTAAAGACAGGTAATTCCAGTCAAAAGCATGTAACATGTTACAGTGGTGGGCAGGAGCATGTAACATGTACAGTGGTGGGCAGGAGCATGTAACATGTTACAGTGGTGGGCAGGAGCATGTAACATGTTGCAGTGGTGAGCAGGAGCATGTAACATGTTACAGTAGTGAGCAGGAGCATGTAACATGTTACAGTAGTGAGCAGGAGCATGTAACATTTTGCAGAGGTGGGCAGGAGCATGTAACATGTTACAGAGGTGGGCAGGAGCATGTAACATGTTAGTGGTGGGCAGGATCATGTAACATGTTACAGTGGTGATCAGGAGCATGTAACATGTTATAGTGGTGGGCAGGAGCATGTAACATGTTACAGTGGTGGGCAAGGGCATGTAACATGTTACAGTTGTGGGCAAGAGCATGTAACACGTTAGTGGTGGGCAGGAGCATGTCACACGTTACAGTGGTGGGCAGGAGCACATGCAAGTGGCTGTGCACATTATTATTATCGTGCAGGTTTGCATATTAATTTGAAACAAAAATCATTAAGTTTTTTCGCGTCACTCAGCGCTGTATAGTCCTTGTGGCTTAGCGCTTCTTTTTGATTATAATAATAATAATAATTTTCGCGTCACTCCATAGTTTCATTAAGTTTATTCAGGCACAGGTACACAAATACAATTACACAATTTACCAAACAGAGCAGCTTATGTGTAGATTAAATAGGATAACCCAAAAAGTCGGACAAATTGACTTAATTCCGCTGGAGTTCTTATTTCCATTCTACAGATTTTATTCAGATTAATCCCTGGGACAGTACAAGAAAGTCAAGCAGTGTGGCTAATTTCCATCGAGGTCCATTTTAAGGCCTCTGATGCGAGTCACAGGTCTATCAACCCAAAGGTACAGTATCTTTACTGCTAGGGAACATAGGTAAGTTAGGTAAGACACATGCAACAGTTAGACAACTTTATTCCGAAACGTTTCGCCTACACAGTAGGCTTCTTCAGTCGAATACAGAAAGTAGGCAGGAACAGTAGAGAAGTGAAGACGATGTAATCAGTCCATCACCCTTAAAGTCGTAGAATTTGAGGTTGTCAGTCCCTCGGCCTGGAGAAGTTCAGTTCAGACTATGGAACTGAACTTCTCCAGGCCGAGGGACTGACAACCTCAAATTCTACGACTTTATAGTAACCTGTTTACATTAATGTTTTATCACTGATTTCATCATTGCTTAGTTAATCTTAAGTTAATTTTAAGCCAGCCCGTAATGCTATGCATAGTATAAGTGGCTTTGGCATACTGCTCTTACCTGTATTTGTTGTACCTCTGTATGTGTGCTCAAATTTTTAAATAAATAAATAAATAAATAAATAAATGGACTGATTACATCGTCTTCACTTCTCTACTGTTCCGGCCTACTTTCTGTATTCGACTGAAGAAGCCTACTGTGTAGGCGAAACGTTTCGGAATAAAGTTGTCTAACTGTTGCATATGTGTCTTACCTAACAACCTGTCGGTATTGTATACCATTTTGATGTTCATCATCATAGGTAAGGACTTGCTCATGCGTCAAGCCTCGTATGGGATTCGGTTCTCTTGGCTTCTCCGTTGGAAGTTATTTAAACTAGCCACTGCGCTAAGTTTATTTAGGCACAGTTACACATAAGTACTATTACCATAGTGTCAATTACCTACGATAACCCCCCCCCCCAAAAAAAAAAAAAAAAAAAAAAAAAAATCGAAGTGACTTGTTTCTTTTGGGGACCTTAGGGACCTTATACTGTGTCTCAGTAACTTATGCAAATGAAGTGGAATAGACAATCACTTCCGTCGAAATAAGTAAAGGACCCCAATGGAAATAAGTCACTCTGACTTTTTTTTGGGTTATCCTAGGTTCTCTACACATATGCTGCTATGTATGATAATTCTATGTAACTGTATTTGTGTATACCTGAATAAACTTACATACTAATCAGCTGGGCACGGCGGGGAGGCTGGGCACGGAGGGGAGGCTAGGCACGGCTGGACACATACGGTAAGTCCCTGGGATGCGGGACTGGTACTATAACTTCTCTGAGTGTGGGCCGTCCAGACCCCATGTATAGCCAGCACGCACTTAATCTTTCACACTTTCACATACACATACTTTCTCTCTCCCTCTCTTACACACACACACACACACACACACATTTAATCCTGCCAAATGCAAAGTCATGAAGATAGGGGAAGGGCACAGAAGACCACAGACAGAGTATAGGCTAGGTGGCTAAAGACTGCAAACCTCACTCAAGGAGAAAGATCTTGGGGTGAGTATAACACCGAGCATGTCTCCGGAAGCACACATCAATCAGATAACTGCTGCAGCATATGGGCGCCTGGCAAACCTGAGAACAGCATTCCGATACCTTAGTAAGGAATCATTCAAGACACTGTACACCGTGTATGTCAGGCCCATACTGGAGTATGCAGCACCTGTTTGGAACCCGCACTTGATAAAGCACGTCAAGAAACTAGAGAAAGTACAAAGGTTTGCGACAAGGTTAGTTCCAGAGCTAAGGGGAATGTCCTGTGAAGAAAGATTAAGGGAAATCGGCCTGACGACACTGGAGGACAGGAGGGTCAGGGGAGACATGATAACGACATATAAAATACTGCGTGGAATAGACAAGGTGGACAGACAGGATGTTCCAGGGAGGGGACACAGAAACAAGAGGCCACAATTGGAAGTTGAAGACACAAATGAGTCAGAGAGATAGTAGGAAGTATTTCTTCAGTCATAGAGTTGTAAGGCAGTGGAATAGCCTAGAAAATGACGTAGTGGAGGCAGGAACCATACACAGTTTTAAGACGAGGTTTGATAAAGCTCATGGAGCGGGGAGAGAGAGGGCCTAGTAGCAACCGGTGAAGAGGCGGGGCCAGGAGCTAGGACTCGACCCCTGCAACCACAAATAGGTGAGTACACACACACACACAGGCGGGGCCAGGAGCTGTGAATCGACCCCTGCAACCACAAATAGGTGAGTACACACACACGAGTTGAATGGGAAAAGCCAGACTATGCAAATGACTACCTCACTGGCAACTGCCCGAACACACTGTTCCTAGCTCCGACTAACCCATACGAAGTCTACCTTATTATCAACGCACTGAAAAACAAGGCAGGAGATTTAAATACCTTACCACCCTTTATATACAAAAAAAGCGTCACAAGTACTATCACCAATCATTGCAACACTCTTTAACAAATCCATTGAATCCTCCACCTTCCCTACAGTTCTCAAAATAGCAAGGGTCACCCCGATCCACATTATTATTATTATAATCAAGGGGGAAGCGCTAAACCCGTAGGATTATACAGCGCCCAGGGGGGGATGTGGAAGGCATTCAGGCTTAATTCGGGGAACTGGAGCACAGATTCAATTCCCTAAATCAAGAGCCCCTCACCCCGATCCACAAAGGAGGAGACCAAACAGAGTTGAATAACTATAGGCCAATATCCAATTTACACCCTCTCTCAAAAATCTTCGAAAAATTAATTCATAAACGAATCTACTCCTACCTCATCTCCCCCCCTCAAGGAAGGTTCCTTGATGTTGGTGAGGGGCTCATGATTTAGGAAATTGGATCTGTGCTCCAGTTCCCCGAATTAAGCCTGAATGCCTTCCACGCCCCCCCCTTCCCCAGGCGCTGTATAATCCTCCGGGTTTAGCGCTTCCCCTTGATTAAAATAATAATAATAATAATAATAATAATACCTCATCTCCCATAACATTCTCAACCCCTGCCAATTTGGATTCAGGCCTAATAAAAATACTAATGATGCTATTATACACATGCTAGAACATATATACACTGCAATAGAGAAAAAAGAAGTCCCACTTGGGATCTTCATTGACTTACGTAAAGCTTTTGATACAGTTGACCATGACTTGCTCCACGTAAAACTGTCACACTATGGTATTAGAGGGCACTCCCTCAACTACCTCAAGTCTTACCTCAGCAACAGAAGCCAATATGTGTACGCAAATGGGGCAAGCTCTTCCGCACAACCAATTACAGTTGGTGTCCCACAGGGAAGTGTCCTTGGCCCTCTTCTCTTTCTCCTATACATAAATGACCTACCAAATGCTTCGCAATTACTCAAACCCACACTTTTTGCAGATGACACTACATACGTCTTCTCTCACCCGAGCCCAGTCACGCTAGCCAATACTGTAAATACCGAATTACAGAAAATATCTACCTGGATGAGGACTAACAAACTTACACTAAACATTGACAAACCTACTTCATTCAGTTTGGTAACAGAGCTACAG